TATTTTTAATATTCAAGTGAATATGTAATTATGTACCAAACCTATCATCAAATATAAAGGTGACAAATAAGAATATTGTTCAGGTCTCCAAGTAGGGTTTACATGCTATTTAAATTTAAAAATGTAAATCTTATGTTCTTACGTTATTAACTTTAAATTTGATAGTAATTTGATTTAATATTAAAAATAGTTTTGTCCRAGTATAAAGTTGACCATGTTATGTATTAATAAAACAGATACAATAGAATACTAGCCATTAGGTATAGGTACGAGCGTTCTATGGTACGTAATTATAAATAATTTTTATATTCGCGACTCGCCACCRTTTACACCGARTGTCGTTATTCTTTTACTATTTTAATCCTGTTTACTCTGAGAGTAACTGCTATTCGACGACCGATACTGCTTAAATACGGTTATCGGTTATTAATTCGTCGGAATATTATACTCACTCGTGGTTGTTCTCGTATCCATAGGCCGTTAAGGTGTTGTCGATCTTCAGCACCTGTCCGACGTGGTCGTGGCTGCCGAATGGAAACTGAATGGCCATCGTTCGACGAGATTTCTGGACAAAAAAAATAATGTTCTTGACTTTGGTAAAACCACAACAAACAACAATATTGTTAAAACGATAATGGCGTCTTCGGAGCAGTGAAGTCGGGAACGACGGAAACAGTTGTGCCGGTAGTCGCGAGTTTTTCGATGCTGACCTACGRCAATACGATACTTTTATTAATATTAATAACGAGCGGGTGACGGGTAGAGGCAGCGGACCTTGGAGTTTGGACTATGGTAAACAATAAACGGTAAACACGGTGCACAGCGTTCCCGTGGCCGTCGCCAGCAGGGCGCAGGCTGTGTAAAACGACCGAAAATATTATGAGCAAACTCCAGAACGAGCCAGTTTGGAATAATAATTATCGACACAATAATGCAATATTTGTTGTCTGTTCGTCTTGTTGTGCCTTTGTTGTTGCTAGTYGGCCGTTGCCGATTTTACTTATTGTTGAGCGTGTACTGACTGTACTGTGTAGGCACTGGATTGGCAGGCGGGTAGATGCTTGGTATTTTGTTAGCCGAAGCATTAAGCAATTTTGGCTTTTGACACGACGACGCCCTCGTTTGCACAGTGGATAGGATTTAGAATTTTAGAGATTACACATACGTATTGAAATCTCTMGGGAAAATCAAAGTAATTTTTTGATATTTTTGGTTCGATTTATACGATTAAAAATGGTCGCCTATTGCCAGCTGAATATTAGTGAAAAATTACAAATTAATAATTATATCGCTCAAAACTCAATCAATAAAAAAAACACGAAAATTGAAATATTGCAAGACCTTGGAGAACAATATGCATGTTAAAATCTTTCAAAATATGCAGAAATACGATAAAGTCTTATTTACATAAATGTGCTTATAACGCTATATTGGTAAAATGTCAATTTATAAAATCCGGTTTGCGGTTTACAAGAAAAATTACGCCAGATTATTATTTATATGGGTATTTGGTATTTGGATGTTCGTTCACTGTTATAGTTATATTATTATTTATACTTACCTTCTTTTGTCACTGCCTTTTACTATTCCAGTAAGTCACTGGAATTGGTTCTAGGAAATGTCGACAAAAAGCATTTCGGCCAAAATGTTCGTCGAAACGACCCGGGGAGGTCTCCCCCTCCCAGGATAGTTGTTAAAAAATAAGCTATTATAAGTATTTGATATCATTTTATTGGTTGTAACACATTTTGTATTTAAAAGTTAATAACCATCAATAATTAATTGATATGTAATTTTGAAAAATATTTGTACTAACTTTATGATACTTTCAATATATAATATTATTATAATTAATAAATGTTTGAATGTAAAATTAAATTAAATTTCTAAAATGTACATAAATACATAATAATACAAGTTTTGCTACGTGTAGATTTATGAGTTTACTTATAATTGGTTAATTAGACGTGTTTCCGACAATAATAGTGTTCAATTGGTGATATTTAGTTTGTTATTATTAATTTTAAATAATACATTAAAACAATATCAGTTTTATAATCTATCAATATATTTATTGTATTTTAAGCTATTTATCACAACAGCTGACAATTATTAAATTTATTACGTTTTACTACTGTAAAAGGTAAAAATAGTACATGGGTATTATAGGTGTTTAAGGAGATYTTTAATTTGTATATTTATTATTTTATTAGAATTTAATTTTCTGGAAGGTGCAATTATTATTAATGCGGTGCAGAAATAGAAAACATAACATAATAGTCTTCTACAGTTATACGTCACTTTTCTTATCCAAAATCAGCTATACTTATACTAGTTGGTAGTTACTAAGTTTTTGAATTTGAAATTTCGCGTTAGGTTTTGTGGGTTAGAATTTAGAAAGTTAATTTATTAATAGACACACGCGACACGCATTATATTTTATAGATGTTTTAATGTTTGGTTGCTAAATATTCCAATCGGAACCAAGTTTTACAATTATTGTATCTACAAATAGTTTTGACTAATAGGCCATCAAGCAACTTTACAGCTACAATACCTTGGGATGGCTTCGTAATAGATACTTATTAACATAATGTAAACATTTGTACTAAATACATACAGATTATGCATTATACAATATACGTACACACACACATATATATATATATACATAGTAGGGGAATATATATATATATATATATATATGTTGACGATTGTTTTAAATAATGCACTGGGACATAATATTATCATCATGTACCTATATGTATTATGCAATGCTTANTTTTATAATCTATCAATATATTTATTGTATTTTAAGCTATTTATCACAACAGCTGACAATTATTAAATTTATTACGTTTTACTACTGTAAAAGGTAAAAATAGTACATGGGTATTATAGGTGTTTAAGGAGATYTTTAATTTGTATATTTATTATTTTATTAGAATTTAATTTTCTGGAAGGTGCAATTATTATTAATGCGGTGCAGAAATAGAAAACATAACATAATAGTCTTCTACAGTTATACGTCACTTTTCTTATCCAAAATCAGCTATACTTATACTAGTTGGTAGTTACTAAGTTTTTGAATTTGAAATTTCGCGTTAGGTTTTGTGGGTTAGAATTTAGAAAGTTAATTTATTAATAGACACACGCGACACGCATTATATTTTATAGATGTTTTAATGTTTGGTTGCTAAATATTCCAATCGGAACCAAGTTTTACAATTATTGTATCTACAAATAGTTTTGACTAATAGGCCATCAAGCAACTTTACAGCTACAATACCTTGGGATGGCTTCGTAATAGATACTTATTAACATAATGTAAACATTTGTACTAAATACATACAGATTATGCATTATACAATATACGTACACACACACATATATATATATATACATAGTAGGGGAATATATATATATATATATATATATGTTGACGATTGTTTTAAATAATGCACTGGGACATAATATTATCATCATGTACCTATATGTATTATGCAATGCTTATTTATAACTATATAAATTATAAGCGTTTTTTTTTTTAATGTCAAAACATACAATTATCCATATATTTAAAACAATGAAATATGCAAATGGGAAAGTCGCAAGTAGCATCACTTATAAAGATTTGATCATGAAGGTAAACCAAGTCATATCAATCATTATACATAGGTATAGATGTATAAATATAATGAATTTGTGTAGCTAATGATATGAARAATATTGACGCTTGCATATACAATATTATGCTTACATAAACTATATCTTGTTTCAATTGTTTCAAACGGGTATACTGTAATACTTATAATATATATTTAACTGTTTAAGGATAGGTAGGTATTGGAACAAATAGTGTTTGATAATTTTAGCCAAAAAAATAAAATTTGAACCTAACCCAAACGATCACCGGACAAGAGACTCGGACGATGTGTGCCTTAAATTGTGTGAAAAGGCAAGTCAGCGGACCGCAGCGTKACGTACCGAATTCTTTAACTCTCGGTAATTTTCGCACTTGCACTGACGCACTGTCCTTTTAGCCGCGTCTTCGTCCAATGCTCACCGAAACGGCTTAGTTTCCGTGTGTCCGGCACCACTGACTTCCGTGTTCTTGGCACATAATGTCTACCGCTCTCCCAGTGCCATAGTATGCGCCGCATGCGTCGTAACGAGTAGCCATCATCGCCGTCATCGTCGTATCTCTATACCAGCCCCCGTGTACTCTAAACGATTCTTTAAAAAGTTATGTCCCAATAAAAAAAAATCATCTGTATGAATATAAAGTAGTAAAGGCTGATTCTCATTTGAAAAATAAGAAATTTGATGCATAAGTAGGTATAGATATACCTACTAAAAAATTTTAAAAATTAGAATTTGATTAAATGTATTATCAGAGAAAAAYGTGGGTAGAGTAACTGATTGAGCATATACCCGGTGAGGTGAATATTTACACGTACTTAATTATACATTAATATTTCAGTATATATGAATTTGTACCTAAATGGCTAAATGTATATTGTTCAGTATTTAGACAATGGCACTATTATTTTTATTTAGAAATAAAATAAAAAAAACAAGCAATATAATATACATCAATGCATATAAATAATAACACTAAAAATCTAAGGCTAATATAATTAAAACTATAACTCGCACCTTATAATTTCGTGATAATATAAATAATTAATTTTAATTCAAACAATTATAATAATATTCAATTCAAAAGTACCAAATTAATTGATATTTACACTATTTTATGTTTTTAGAATTTACATTTTTTATAGGTAGCATTTCAAATTGAATTCGTATACTGCAGTTTACATAGAATCTAGYGAGGTACATATAAATCGTATAYGATTTAATTGATTCTAATAACAAAGCTTGAATCCATTTTATTGATTTTCAAAATCAAATTTAAGGAACATAAATTTGAATGTGAAATAAAAACAATAAATCAATATTAGTTATACATTAACACAATATTACCATTGTTTTTTATTATTTACATAAATTTAAAAAATAATATACATTAAAATGTGTCATGATAACTAAAAACGTAATTTAAATCTGTATTATTGAATCCTGTATATATTTTGCATATTATTTAAATGGCAGAGGATAGTTAGAAAAGTGACAGTAAGTGTAAGTCATTAAAAAGAGTTATTTATTCTATAGCTATTTATGGTTTGAAGAAGTTTTGGCATATTTACCAAACAGTAATATACATTCAAGTTGACARCTCAAGATTATTTAATAGGATAATTTGTAAAACTAAGTTTTTTGAATACGAATTCRCTAAATGTTTCATAATATTTAAGGAAAACGTAGTTTTAAAAATATACAGCTTACGTTAAAACTTATTACCATCGTAAGTATAACTGAAAAAATGAAACGAAATTTTAATAAAAAATATAAATGATAGAGTGATTACACGAGTGAAAAGTTTTATCTATATGATATATTGTACAAGTATTGAATAATAAATTAGTACTTAATTTCCGAAAGTTCATATAATCAAGTTAAAACTTAAGTTAAATTTGACCATTATGTATTTGGTATGTTTAAATTTTTATCTGATTAAATAAAATTAATTTTGGTAATTACATTCAATTTTATCTGT